AAGTGATATCTATATATTAAGTGAATGAGAGTGTTACGACCGTTTTCAGCAATTATATTAATAGTATCCATATATTGAGTAAATGATTGTTATTAAAGTTATAAGTAATCGAAATATATAAATTGCCAATGCAAATATTTTTCTTAGACCCTCGCATCTTAAACATCTTTTCTACATGAATGGCCAAGTTATTTTAATCATAAAGAAATCAAGTGAGTTTCCAACCATATTTATGGTTGTAATACACCCAAAGTTGAGCCGATGCTAGGCCAATTCCCGTGGATGAATCGGTGTCAGGCTATCCGAGATTGAATAGTAATTAAAATGATTGAATAAACTACTCATCATTCCTTTTCGTGAGCCATACTGAAAGAGCTCTAGAGTTAAGCGTGAAAGGACTCGTTTTGACTTGTGGGGCCGGTCTGCAATTCCGACATGCTTGAATTTGCGTGGGTTGCGGGTCGGCGTGTCGCAATGTTTCTTTCCCTAGTTTATGCGTGTGTGTGTGTTTGTCTTGCTGAATTCATGTATGTGTGTTTATTTCTATTAATCTAGCATTAATTAGTTTAACTGAATAACAATTGTTGAATTGACATATATTGGGTTCGTTGTTGTAGGGAAGTTTGATTGAATAACAGTAATTATTTGGCAAGTATTTTGACAGTGTCTTGGTCATTGCTGGAACAATATTTATTAGAGTTGAAAATTTATGGAGTGTAAGCCGTAAAAGAGAGATAGCAGACAAATCAATGGGGATGATTTGTAATGTATCGTGTCAATAGACATGGCATTTAATAAAAGTGTAACAATTACGACATCATAGTTTGTTCGTATTTTATAAATATAGTTAGTCATACGGTTCTATCACGTGTATTGGTTGTATCAAATTTATTGGTCCTAAAAAATAAAAGTTTAAGGTAGATCAAGTTAAAGCACAATCGTCATTGTTCGTTGTATGTTATTTACATTTCTCGTCCATCAATAAAATGTATCTTCAAACATGCAATCTATTTGAAAACATTGTTTTTGGATTATGCAATTTGTATTGGTTGTTTCTTTTTAACTCTTTGCCTATCATGTTTACTTTTTTCATTGTTTGTTTCAACTCCAACAAATTGTTTTGCACTTTTTTCTTATGATTATTTAACTTTAATTAGTTGGGAACGATTCCAAGCCATGGGCAGATATGAGAGTGAATATGAGGTTTCCAACGAAGTTGTTTCCTTTATGGCTAAAGATCGATCATGTGCATTTGACCGCCGTCTCCAGAGCGTCAATTACTACAGCTGGAGCAAGATCAACTCCAACGGGTGTCATTAATTTTTCCTACCATTTCTAACATGGTTACCATGATAGCTCCTCCACGAAAAAATTACATATATAGGGATAGAGAAGGAAGACACGAAGATTTGTGGACGGACTACCTTTGTGAGCTTCTGCATTTTCATGAGTCTTACTTCAAACGGAGGTTTCGAATGCAATGATATATTTTTTCCAGAATTTTTAAGAATAATGACTCCTACTTCACTTAGCGATTTGACTGTACTCACCAAATATGCCTTTAGCTCATACAAAAATATGGCTGTTATTCGTATCCTCATTTACGATTTGTATTTTGATACTCTTGATGAAGTTATATGAATATGAGCATCAACGACTCAACTCCCAGCCATGAAGTTCTGTTACACAATTATCAGAACTTTTAGGGATCAATATTTGTGTAATTCGACCAATGAGAACATACCACGTCTGCTAGCTGAAAAAATAAAAATGTGGATTTTCGGGGATAATAGGATCTTTGGACTGCATGCATTGATTATGAGATGGGTGTCCCGTGGCTTAGAGAGACCAATACAACATGCACTATGGGTACCTAACACTAATTTTAGAGACAGCTGTCTCACAAAATTTGTGGATTTGGCATGTATTTTTGGAATGCCCAAGACTAATAACTATGTTACAGTTTTTGATCATTCGCCTTTGTTCAATAGGTACATGGATTGAACAACACTGCTGATTTACTACAAGGTGAATGGTAGACATTATAATCTACTGCACTATTTAACGGATGGTAAATATCCGAAATATACAATACTTATGCAAACGGTGAGAAATTCAATCACTGCCAAGGAACAAGCGTTAAAACATTACAAGAATCCATATGCAAAGCCATCAAAAGGACATTTGGTGTACTCCAACCAAAATGGCATATATTGGCCATGCCAGCGAGAATGCAAAATACAAGTGACCTCCTATGTGTGATGACTATGTTTATTATATTACACAACATGGTCTTTGAAGATTAGAATGGCCACAACCTATCCGATTGATACCATCCATCGAAGATGATCAAACTCTACCCGAGCAAGCACAGTCAGTTGAAGATGTTCGTTTATTATTTCGCATTAGAATGGAAAGAATCAGCAACACGGAAGCTAATGAAAGGCTATGAGATTATCTCATTAATCACCAATAGATAATGTCTGGGGGGAAAAAATATCTAGTAAGTAACGTGTTGTGCTACGGGTCGCAACAAGGTGATATGTGTAACACCCCCAGTTGACTCATACTGGAAATGCTACCGCCACACTGCATCATGAGGTCGTCACCTCCTACTTTGGGCCCCACAATACAGTTTTAAGGCTAAAATTAACCATAAAAGCGCATTATTATATAACAAAATCTGATTTATGAATATTTACAAAACACACTCCTAAACAAGAGGTTTTTCCGGTTAAAAATTTACATATAATACAATAGATGTAAGTTCACTCACTCAACCCGTCTTTTTATATCTCGAGACGTGCCCCGTCTCGGATGTGCCATGCATACCTAAAACAAATATTTTTCTTAAAAGCAGTCTAGAATTAAATTCATTTTAAGAACTAACATGAAATATGTCATTTTATACATTTTTAAAATAAAGTCTAATTCACGTCAATCATGAAATACGTGTCATGTCATGCCAATAGTGAAATGATGCAACAAAGATATCAAACTCGACAACAATGCACATCCACATATATATACACATCCGCCGAAGTGGGCAGCCGGAATAACCTCGGCTCCAAATAATAGGCTCACTACATCTGTCTAAGTGAGCAGCCGGAATAACGTCGGCCCCGTAATAACAAGCTCACTAGACCATCATCAATAAATAGTCGGAAAATCCTCGGCTCAAGGAAGGACCTGATAAACCCATAATAACATAATGGTCATCCGGTCACTTCCATATACTCACCATACGACTCCCACAATCAATACATGGATAGCCGAACGTTGTCGCCATTAACCACAAGACGCCCCATAGTCTGTGATAGCGAAGATAGGACCCCCACCGACGAGCCCTATCCCGTGTAATGTAGTAGAATCCGTGCAACCTGGAATCACCCAAGGGAAACCCGGAAACTCTACTTCTCCTCGCGCGCCCTAACGGGATCATGTTTGGAGTTTGGCAAATGATCCTAAACTACCGGTAGACCTCACCAGTGATCAATCCAATGAGTGGAACAACACCGAACACGAATGATTGGACCAAATACATCTCAACTACAATTAGTATAATCCCTGAATGACCGTACGACTAAGTCACCCAGTTGTCCGACTACTATCGTCCACTATCGCCAAAGTGTTACGGTACATCGGGGTCAATTATCCTAACCCCAGATGATGCCCTCGCCTAGCACTACTGCACACAACGACTAGATGATAGATCCATAAAACATATCCGATAAACCGTGCAATATGTGTGCAACATGCCAAATAAGTGAATTTACCGAAAAGGGCTGGTGAGATAGTTCACCTATCCTCCTTTTCATAAATTCACCAACGCGATCAAATACGTATATCAAATATCATAAAACGTGAAGTCTCCCACATGCATACGCACACACATATATATAAATATATACATACACTGACAAAATGATTTACATAATATCACATTTACATATTAATCAGAATCGCATGCAACATGCATACCTAATTTCTTAAAATTAGATTTAATTCCTTACTGCTTACCTCTTATCAACACTCCTTAGTTTTTGCAATCTCACCCGAATCTCCTCCAACGTACACCTGCCCCATTATTTACTCAAAGCAACTGAGCTATGTGCTTATTCACAAGAGCTACCTGATTATTCAAAAGCTAATTTCTATAATTAGCTCGTTGGGTTTCAAACTTTTATATTTAGTAGAATATGATATTCTAGTTATTAAACCCTTATATCTCATAATATTTATATCGCCCGATTATTAAATAAAAATACTTAAAGATATGAATAAACAGGCAGGTGCAGTGTTTCGGCTCGGATCGATACAAAAGTCTCATAATATAATGCTAGGACTACGAATAGGCTATTAGCTAAAGAAATTCATCGATTAAATAGCCAAATAGCCAGTTATGAATTTTTGAAAAATTTCTAATTTAATATCCCCAATATCTAAATTCATATTAAAATCCATAATTAAATTCTACGTATAACAAGAAATACAATACCAAAATCGGAATCAAAATCAAACGGCTAAATCTTTTCTTTTTCTTTTTCTTTTTTCTTTTTTCTCATTTCTTTTCTTTCTCCCTGACGATTCCCTCTTTTCTTCGAGGTAAGGTTCGCTTGTTTTTTTTTCCTTAATAAATATATTTATATTATATTATATTATTATTATATATTATATTATATTATTATTAACGTTGTTATTATTATTATTATTATTATTATAAACATCTTTATCTTCTTTATTTATTTATTATATTATATTATTAAATTATATATTATATTTTAGTAAATCTTTTTATACCCGAACCTAAACTTGTCAGACTTCCTTGTTGATGCTGCATTTTTATTGTGTAACTTCAGACCTGATAAGAATGAGTGACTGTATTATCGTTCTGTGTTGGCTAAGCCTGCACACATTTGTTGTGCCTGTATGGATTTTCGAAGTGATTCGTCGAGCTAGTGATGGGATATGTTGAGACCGTTGGTATTCGGTGTTGGTGAATGGAGATTTGGGGGATTTTTCAAGTCCTTGCGAGGGGTTCAACAAGGGGTCCCTTGTCGCCAACTTTATTTGTCTTTGGCGGGGGCTCGAACGATTATTTGGGAGATTTCTTAACCTCTTTTATCATTGCCGGTGTGGTTTACGATTGTCTTATTTGGCATATACTGATGATGTCTTGAATTTTGCTAATTCCGGTAGTCTGAAAATTGACTCTTTAACCACATTCTTAGATGATTATGTGCGGATCACCGGGCAAAAGATCAATTGTCAAAAGAGTCATATAATGTTTAGTCGGCAGTGTACGGAGGAGCTCCGAAGGCAACTCCGGGAGGCCACAAGCTTTGGAGATGCCGATCTTCCGCTTATATATTTTGGAGGCCCATTTTATGTGAGATATCGGAGAAACACGTTGTATGAGGGGCTCCTTGGCAAGCTCCGGAGGTATTTGGCGAAGTGGGATAGATCCGTCCTTTCACATGGAGGGCGCCTTCAGTTGATCCGGAGTACACTATATTCCCTTCCGCTTTATCTATTACAGGTTCTTAGGCCGCCGCAGATGATGTTCTAGTTGGTGCAGCAGTTATTTGCGAGATTTTTTTTGGATCTTATCATGGTCATCGTCGGTGGCATTGGGTTTCTTAGGTGGAGGCCGCGCTACCGGTGAAGAATGATGGATTGGGTATTTGGAGATTGACGGATATGGTAGAGGCTTTATCATATAATTTTTAGTGGAAGTTTTGGGATGGTTATCTTTATGGCCATGTGCTATGAGATACAAATAATTTTGTGGCACATTTTCGGTGATAGCTACGTGTAAGAGTTACGATAATCCAGTATAGAAGCGTTTGTGCAGAGTGCGTGTGAAGGTACAATCCCGAATCTACTAGAGCTTAGGTCGGGGAAATCTTTATTTTTGTTATGTAGATGGTGTGGGGAGCAACCCCTTTGTGCATATCGAAGAGATCGGCCGCCGGCTTTATTTGTTTAGGAGATGTGGCGTGGCAGATCTTGGGATTTGAAGCAGCTTCGGGCATATCTCCCGGAGTCACTAGTTCGTTGTGTCTCGAAGGTTCTGATAGATGGATTATCGGGTGATAAGATGACTTGGGTGGCCTCGAGTTCGGGCATGTTCTCGACATCTTCGGCTTGGAAGCTTTGCTGAGATGTGTGTTCGAGGAGCTGGCTATCCGGTGCTATATGGCTGCATCTACTTACTCCTACGGTATCAGTCTTCTTATGGAGATTATTTCGGCGCCAGTTACCGGTTGATGATATCCTTCGACATTATGGGATCCCTACTTTTTCGAGATATTATTGTTTTCGGGATGAGAAAGAGACGGTTTCTCACATCTTCTTTGAGTTGGCGGCTATTATGAGGGTGTGGAGCCACTTTGCCGCGCTTTTCCGAGTCACGTTGCCGGATACACATATACCGCACCTTATGGTATCTTCTTGGAGGCTTTCCACGACACATGCTCGGAGGTGTTCATTCATATATTGATTATGTAATTTTCTTGGACTGCCCGGAATGATACAAAATATCGAGGTATTCTTTTTCATCCGAGAGGGCGCACCTACACTTGCAAGTACTTTGGCGCTCTGGTATCCTCTCCGAAAATATTGGGAGGGAGATCTACATATAGCAATGAACATCGGGTTTCGGTATCCTTCGCCAACCCCTCGTTCTCCGATTCTTCTTCGGGTTTGCTTGCGGCTTCATAACATCACGTTGAGGATTACACATGTTTTTCGAGAAGGCAATAGAGTTACATTCTCACTAGCAGATATGAAGAGCACACTACCTAATACGCGGACATTCTTCAAAGGACATCCCCCAGACGGCTTGAGGGTTTTGTAGAGCAAACGAGAGTGAACCGCCAAGTTTCAAGTTCCGGTAGATTCCTCTACTTAGTTGATATTGAGACTTATATGCCTTGGTTATTTTTTCTAGATACTGCCTAGGCTTAGTCTTATAAGTTTGCACATTGACTCTATTGTTTCTTTAACAATAATTACGTATGACTTAATCCTGGTCTTTTGACTGGGTACGTAGGCAGCTCATTTGAGCGCAGAAAAAAAAACAATGACGTTATTCCAAAATAATGCATCAAGCCATACGATACAATATTTTCTTCCATAAAAGATAGATACAATTACAACACAAAGATCGGGAGTGCATAATTAAGTAGTCAACACAATTAAGTATAAAACAACAATTTCATGCATCACATAGACACAATGAGTTCAATTTTCTGGGGAACATTCCAAACCACGGTATCACTGAAAAGCCTTTTTCTACTTTCAGTATGCCTACCACTTTTTATCGGCCACATCCGCATTTGGAGGATTTGTTTTGTCAATCGATTGAAGAATTGATTTCAACCCTAAAAATGGACAAATTCAGATAACAAAATAACCAAGTGCAATAACTTCAACATACAAAAATAACATACTATTGTAGCCACGTTGTGTAGTATTCCACTTGCTCATTCCGCACATTGTACAATCTATCTTCATACCCGGTGCATATGTTGTCCTGATCTAAATCGTCCAACTTTGCTATTGAAGTCATCATCTTATCAACCATGTTTTCAAGCTCTTTAACTATATTTTCATATCATGTGTCTGTGTTAATTGAATCCTGTAAGTACCATATGATGTAATAGTAATGAGGTTAACATAATAAGAATTTTTTTTAAAAAAAATCAAAATACCGAAACATAAATGTTTGAAATCACCTTTTTTTTAGATCTTTCATACATGACCTCAGATTCCTCATCCCTCTGTATTTCTCTTCTTCAATTGCCATCTTCAATTCTTGACCATATTTCATTACTTGCAGATTTAATCTTCATTAATGACAGTAATTGTTCAAGCAAATGATGCTTAAACTCTTCATGAATCTTTATCCTTTGTTGTCGTTGATTGTTTGGTTTGTTAAGAGTTTTGGTCTTTTTAATTCTCATTGGACACTCCAGATCAATTGCACTAAGGCTTTCTAATTTTGGCTGAGTCGAGACTTTAACTGACAGAGTGGTATATGTAGGTCTCTCACCCACACTGCCGTCAGTAAAGGAGGCTGGGGCCCGAACCTCAACGGGTCTTTGAATCTTAGTTTGATCCCATATAAAATATTTCCCATAACTACTAGACCTTCCAGTGCTCCTACTTTTTTTTTTCCACCAGCAAACTTCATCCACTTCGGTTGATCTTTTAATATTTTCCAACATGCTTCACACTTGAAGTTTGAATTGTGTCTGTCCTTAAATGTTGCGTGATAATAATATTTCTATAAAAACACTCTTATTAGGGGTTTTAAAAAATAATTAAATAGAGAATGCATTTAAAGGAATTCGATAAAATACTTATGCAATATGTTGCGCGCCATCAATTCCGATAATTTGTATCCACCTAACTCGTATAGTCGACCACTTACTACATTGGGATTAAATTTCCAACGTCCGGTTCTCACATGCTCCCGGAGTTCTCTTTTTGTCTGATTTTCTAACTTCATGGTTGTATTGTATAAACACAATAAAATTCTCACATACCCTCTCTCATAACCTTTGTTTTTTTTTTTTGTCCGACACCAACTTGCGCATTTTTCATCACATTACACCATGCAGTGGTCAACTCCACATCCTCTCCAGTGCTCTAATTTTTACTTGTACGTTGGCTTGTTTTAGCGCGTCTTACCCTAGGGATTCTCTGGGAAAGAATTGGATGATGCAACAATGGGCGATTACAATTCAAAAGAGATGTGTTAGCCTGTGATGTTTGTGTCTAGTAATATAGAGTTTGAGGTGATTCCCCAAATGGTAAAAAATTCCACATATTAGTGTAAAACATATGATCATTTCGATAGGGGTAGTATTGTATAGGGTTGAACGGAGCACTAAAATTCATGTTGTATTGACTTGGAAATGAATTTTGAAGTGGAGTCAAATCAGGTTACTATTAGTACATAGAGTTGAGTTGTTTTTCATTGCCCGAGACTTGTTAGTTGGTTGGGTGGATCCTCTAAATCAACCACATCAATTCACTTTGTCTTCATCACAACTATCCATCTTGACTTAATATTCTGAATACAATAATAATAAACCTACATGCAGTGAAAGAAACCTAGCTCAATAGTTCTACGATATTTTCCACATGCACCTGCTAATAAAAACAGGAAATGTGGAAATTAAAAATAATAAATCAGAACAACTTGGATCAAATCAAACACAACGATCATATTGCATTCAACGGACAAACATAGAACATATTTTCAATAACACATGGTATTACTTTTTCAAGAGATTTTAACTTTTACATTTCTATGTACTAACAAAGAAACAATCACATTTGCAACCCAGCACATCATCAACTATCTAAATTTGAGAGAAAATATATTCAAACAAGTATCCAAAAAGAAAATATATAAAACATTCCATGTTGGATTATTCAACAAAGATTCAAGAGAAAATCAAAATTGAAACCAAATCACAAGAAATTTCAACGAAAAAAAATATATAGTTCAAGATTCATCCAGTGAAAAATCGATACTCCAACATATAAAAAATCGAAGTAACACACATTACCGAAAAAGAAAAAGAGAAAGCGAGAAAAATGAATTTCTTACCTTCTTCCAGTTGAAAATCTTCAAGAACCTGACGCATTGTTTGGATGATGGTAGTCGGATATGCCTACGGCATGAGAGAATCGGCGAAGGGATGATCTTTTGGCAAAAAGAAAAACAATTTGGGAGAGAACTCATATTTGTATCTACAAATCTAAAAAATGCCCTAGAAAAATATTTTTAGAAAAAATAAAATTAGTAAAATATTTTTTTAAGAAAAATAAAATGGGTGTTTACAAATGTCACCGTACTCATATATTTCTCACATCCATCGAGTACAGTAATATGAAAATAGTAATACTATATAATAAAAATATTTAGATAATCAAAATAACAAATCAATATTTTGTCCTAATAAAAAGAAAATGTGGTCAGTAAGGAATATCCTGATGATTTGTGGTGAACTCGTGACTGTGTGATCATAAATTCAAATTTGATTTGTCTGTAAATTTCCACATTAAAAAATAAATATTATTATTTAATATTAAAGTTTCATTTGAATTTGCTTTTGAAAATGAATTTTGGCTTCTACTTTTTTTTTAAAAAAGACAGTATGTACTTATATATTGGCTTCTGTCCAAAAATATAAGCAATTTTTAAAGTTCAAAAGTACTTTTTTTAGAAACATTTTAGGAGTAGTTTTTGAAATAAATAGAAATACTTTTCAATTAAAATTATTATTTTAATAATAATAATATTAATAATAATAATAATAATAATAATAATAATAATAATAATATAAAATGAGTTATAATTTTTTAAAATATAATATATAAATTAATCATCTTTATATCATTATTATTATTAATTTATATGTTATATTTAATTTAAAATGTAAAATTATAATTAACATATCAAATTTAAACATATAATTTTTTATTATATTAAAATTATTAAATATAATTTATAAAATTTTAAAAATAAATAGTAAAATATAAATAATTTAATATTGAATTATAATTTTATTTTTAATTTATATATTATTCTTAAATTAAAATTTTAAGATATAAATAATCAAATTTTAAAATATATTTTTTATACTTAGATAATTTAATATATTTAACTATAATTAATAGAATTTAAAAATAAATTTTATAAATATATACAATTATATATTAACAACATATCCATTTTGAATAATATTATCGTTTTTTTGCTTTTGACTTCAACTTATCTTTAAGTTAATTCAAACAATTCCAAATCTAGTAGACATAACTATAAAAAGGGTTTGACCATAAATAATTCCTTTAAAATAAATAAAGAGCTTGGCATAAATAATTCCTTTAAAATAAATAAATTCAGGTGCGTTTGTTTGGGGATTAGATTTTAAATTCACTATTCATCCCATTTTTTACCCTAAAAATATCAAACCAAACACTTATTTTTTATTACTAAAAATTAATTTTACATTTAAAAAATCACATTAACACATATTTATATCACATCATACAACTATTCAAATTTAATTTTTTTACTATTTAAATCTCAACTCAAAATTCAAGGCCCCAAACATACACACCCTCATTGTGCGTAGATATATATATTTTTTTATGTCAAATAGTAATTATTACATATATAGAGTTTGTTTGATTTTTCTATAAAATTAAATTAAAATTTGATTGAAATAGTATTTTAATTTAATATTTTATAAAATATAATATATTTTGATTGAAAATATATTGCATAAATAATACACTTTATGTTATTTAAATCTATAGTATTTATTTTTTATATTGTCCTGAAATTATTTTTTAGTTAGAAAAAATATTTTTGTTTTTCTTTTTAATTTTTTTTTGTATGAAAGAAAAAATAATTATTTTTAGTTATTTTTATTTAAGCTTGTGTCCAATCATAAAAATATAATTTTCTAACGACGGAGACAGTAATAGTTATTGTTTGAAACATAAATCAAATACTCCCTCCGTCCAGCAAGAAGCTTGTCATTGGCTTTTTGCGTGTTGATTTTTTAATATTAATTATGATATCAATACGTAGTACAACTTAAGAAAAAAAAACAAAAATATATTTATTAATCTCTTATAATACATATACAATGATATTTGTTGAATAAATTATTTAAATATAAAGATATTTTTAATGTTAAATATAATAACACAAAAATCAAATGACAACTTTCTTGCGGGACGGAGAAAATATATGAAAATATTTGATTTGAAAATTAAATAAGATAATATAAAAGGTAAACAAACCTGTATTTCTATGAGTTTTTTACACATATATTTATATTCTATACGATAATGTAAAAATTAATCAGTAAATACATGTAGGTGTAGGTAAAAAAAAAAAAAAAGAAGAGTCAAAAATTGATCCACTCAGATCCATCAATGAAAGTGAGGGAAATGAAGGGCTTGGCCTCCTCGTCTGTGAGCTCCCGGGACCACGACACCCTTCCTGCAAAACTAGCCCCTGCTCCACTGCACTTGTACTGCCCGTAGAACACAGTCCTGCATTTTATTTTCATTTTTTTAAAATACCAATATATATATATATATTATAGTTCTGGTCACAACGAATATTTATTTTTAATACATGGAAAAATTAAATTTAATATTTTTATTTATCTATTATTATTATTAAAAAAAATAAAAAGGTGCATATAGGAGTATTATTGCAACAATGAAATGTAGAAGGAAGGTACTTACATTTCTCTAGAAGGGTCTCCCCAATTGTACCATCCCTTGGGGATGATGATGCTGTCCATATATGTGTAGGCAAAGACCACTCTGGAAAATGGGCCCCACGCCCGGCCCAGATAGAGTGCGCCCGACCCGGTTACCCTGCAGTTCACAAACGAGAACCCGGTGTCGTCCAATATGCTGCTCCTGCCCTGCGCCGTCACCGCTCCGATCACCGGTGCAATTGCATGGACCTGACACCTCTGCACTTCACACACGGGACCCATATCACTTCACTAATTAATTAATTAATTAATTAATTATTATTCCATAATAATCTATATAATTTTTTTATTTTAATTCGTCCATAATAAAATATTAAATTTTTTTTAGTAACTGTATTATTTACCTAATATTACAAATACTCTTTATAATATATTACACAAATGTCATTACATTTATATCATACAATACTAATAAAATTAGTTTAGTCTTTTTACCTTTATTTCTACAACATCCCAATATAATACCAATATTTTTAAAACTTCGTGAAAAAAACAAATTGATAGATAGATACGGGAAAGAGAGAGTAATATTTTTTTCTCTATTACTATAAAATATCAATTTTCCCTTTTAATGATAATTATACTATATTATTGTATTTTCTTTTCGTCCGTCTTATATAATTTGTCATTTTTTCTAAAAATATAATTATTCATTTTAATTATATTTTAAAATTAATAAGTTTTAAATTTTTTTATTTAAATTAAACTATTTAGTAATTTTAATCTTAATCTATAATTATTTTTATTAAGTTATAGTTATTTTCACTAATATATTTCTTAATTACTTACTAATTATACAATATCTAAAATTCAGTACTTTAGCTAAATGAGACAAATTAGCTGAGACGAAAGAAATATAATTTATAAATATTTTAAAATTTTTATTAATTCATACCAATACTATTCTATTAAATTAAAATATAAAAGCTTAAAATAATTTTTCCATACAAAAATATATCAAATTATATTAAAATAAAATATTCATTGACCCCACGTAAAAAAAGTATTATAGGGTTGCAACAAAAAATTTTTAATACTCTGATTAATATTATAGATAAATACTGTAATATATCATTTATATAGTTTATCTATTTTAAAATTTTAATAATTATATAAAAATATTATTTTTCATATTATAAATATACTTTTTATTACACTAATAATAAATACATTAACTTTTATTTAAAATTCCTAACATACCACTATTTTATTCGACAATCAATCTTCTATATTTCAATGATATCATAGTCAATACTTTTATAATTTACCTATCTTATAATAAAATATTAATGTTTTTTGTTTTATGCAAATAATAAATAAATACATATAAATTGATAGAAAAAATGTACTACTATAAAAATAGCCAAGCAATGATTAAATAAATATTCATATTTTTATATAACATGAGTTGTTACTTTGAATTTTTATTTAAATATTATTTAAATATAATATTTTATATATAAAAAAAAATAGTATATTACTTGTAATCAAACAAAGCCATTGCATTTCATTCTTTTTCTCCTAATTAAAACTTCACACATCCCATTTTAGACCAAATACAATAATTTATAATAAATAAATATAATTGTATAATAAAAATAATATATATATATATATATATATAATCAAATTAGAAATGATCTGTTTAATTAATTAAATAGATACCTCGAATAAGGAAAGTCCATTTCCAAAAATGAAATCAACAGAACCTTCGATGTAGCAATCTTTGTAGTAATGTCTTCCCAAGTGATCATACAATGTGTCCTGAGCCCCCAAGAATTTGCACCCCACGAACGCCGCCGTGTCCGCCGATATTCGAAATGCCACCGCCTGTTTCCCCACCGCACCCGGCGGCGGCACCGGCGTCGTGTTCTACATGCAAACCCGTTTTGGTGAATTTTAAAATTATACAGAAAAATAAAATAAAATAAGATAGAACAATTCTAAAATTCATTTTGTCACATCTCTAGACATCATTTAAATAAATAAATAAATAACCCATCATTTAAATTTAAAATCTTATTTTATTCAATAAAATAAATATACATTTAATCAGAATCGTGGGATTATTATTTTTAAATAAGGTATGTATGTATAATAAAAATAAATAAATTAGAGAGTATATATATATATAGTGAACCTTGAATGTAATATTCTTGGCAATGAAGTATGGAGAATTAACAGCAAAAGTGGCAGAGCCATATGTGCCGAGGGGCTGGCCCTTAGGTCCCGGTGTCTGTGCGGTGTCTCCCCATTCAACTATGGTCCTGTCTGCTCCTGCTCCCTCCACTGTAATGAAAGATTTCATTGGGGGTATCGAAACCTTCTCCCTACAACAGTATTCATTTTATGACCAATATATATATATATATATATAATATTTATTTTTTTCACTTTCTCATAAGTTATAACTTTAAATAAATAATACTCCCTTTGAGTTCTATAAAAATATATTTGTATTGAAATAAAATTATAAAAAAAAATAGTATTTTAATTTAAAATTAAAAGTTGTATATGAGAATTTTGATAAATTCATTAGATATTGTGTTTGTAATTAATCATTTTACATGTGATTTAACAACAATAAAAGTATTTTATACTTTTTTTTTTTGTCATAAAAGTATTATCAATTCTTTTTTTAGTAAAAGGTAACCACTTTTTATATTCTTTACCCTAAAAGAAAATTTACTATTTTTACTAATTTTAAAACTCTCCGATCAAATAGACATAAGTTTTAATTAAAAAAGCATTATCATACATATATATATATATATGAATAAAAAAAATAAATATAAATTTGATGAAACATAGAAAAAAAAAAAAAAAAAAAAAAAGGAATTAAAGAAACTAAGAATGAGAAGACAAATGAATGTGAAGGGACACATTCATCTATCACTAGTCACTTTTCTTTGGTCAAAATCTCACAAAACTACAAGGAAAGAAATGGACACCCTTTGCTAATATTGTTGAAGCCAAGATGCAATAATAATAAATTTAGAGAGCATAAAATTTAATTTGTTACAATCTTCTATAATTTAAGAGTGCATGTCTTTATTGATATACAAAGATTGATTGTATTGAGTTAGTGATTTTTTGGGGGGTTTTTTGATTTAACTAATGAATTCAATACGGTTTGTAAGAAAAAATAATATATTTTTACAGAATATCGTAAGAAATACTATATAGTAAAGAATTCGGAAAAAAGAAATGATACACTAAACTCACTTGTAGACCCCGGCGTGGACCTTGATGACGACGCGGACAAGATTGATAATCGGGAGGGAGTTAACGGCGTCTTGGATGGTAGTGAAGTCGCCGTGGGCGGGGTTTTTATCGACGGTTAGGGTGTAAGAAGGGAAAACCTTATTTTTGGCTGTCTTAAAGAGAGAATGTTTGAGGCTTCCAACAAAATCGACCCATTTCATGAATTGTCGTTCCGAGTACTCGACTTGCGTCGTGTTCACCGAGAGCGGCTTCCCGGGCTTATTACGACAATGCACGAGGCGTGCACTGTCGAGAAAGAGAACTAGAGCAAGAAGAGAGACAAGAACATAGGATGCAATAGTAGTTGGTGTGCAAGAACAAGACATTGTGAGAAAAATAAATTATATTTATTTATATGTATATATATGTGTATAATGAAAAGGGAGGGGATTAATGTTGTGAGTTAGAATTTGATGGATTGAATTCTTGATGGTTTAGGTTAAGGGGGTATATATACATGGGGTAGGGTGGGGTGGGGGTCACGGGTGGTTGCTTTCTTTAAAGAAAAGGTGAGAATGTGGGGAGTGGGGGGGGGGGGGGGGGGGGGGGTGGTCACAGGCGAGGATTGTAGGCCACAAAGTAGCCTCCCACGAATGCACTTTTTTTTTATGCTGTGGGGTGTTTTTAGGAGTGAAAAAGTTGGGTGTCCTAAAAAGGGGTAGGGTGGGGGTGGGGGGGGGTGGGGTGGGGGTTGTTGGTGCCCGTGAGTGTGTCTATTTGTTTGTGTCTGAAGAAGAATAGATTCTCATGGAAATTAATTAAATGCTCCACTCAGCAATCATATGCGTCATCATCATGTTTGGTGGTAATTGTAAGATGATTATTGCAATATTCAATACTCTTATTTATATATATATATATATTTGTATATAATTCAATAAATGCTCCGTTTAGACAAAAGTTTTTTTTTTTTTTTTGAAAGATTTGAAATTTTAAAAGTTTAGAAAAATAAATAAATAAATAAATAAAAATAAAAAATTGATATTTGATTTGATATTTTATAAGATAAAAAATATATTTGATGTGAAATTTTTAATTTTAAAAATAACAGGTACCAAATGAGTGAAAATAGTTTGTGTAAACGGAGCCAAATTTGTATTTCAATTTAATATTTGTTATTATTTTATATATAGGTGTTCGGTATATTTATACAATAATTTAAATAATTTTAAAATTTGCATCCTATGTTCAACTGTGTAATATTGTGGCCATGTTTTTCAGTATATTATATGTATATATATAGTTCAGGAAATTATTTTATACTCTCTTCCTCCTATTTTTCTATTTTCGTTTGTCCCACTTATTTTTTCATTTTTCTTTTTTGGAAAAGAATTATACATTTTAATTTTATTTTTAAAAATTTAATATATATTTTTTAAATTTTAATTATACTAATTAATTATCTTAATCTATTTTAATTTTAATTTATAATTATTTTTATTATAAAATAATTGTTTTTACTAATATATTTTTAATTATTTACTAATTATACCCTTGTAAATATTCTCGTGTCTACGGTAAACCGGATAAAATATGCTGGACGGAGGGAATACTATTGAATAATACAATTATAAAATAAATTGAGTCCCACCAAATGTTGTTATCTCTATGCATATTTCTTTTTGGCTTGTGTAATGATTAGTGGGATTGTTGTGGAATTTACTGACCAGAAGATAATCAAGAATGACGTTTTCATATTTGTTTTTTGTTCAAGATTTTTTTTTAATTTTTTATTTTTTAATTTGGATAAAGAAGAGAGAGAGAGAGTAAGAGATATAGACAGGTAGGAGATTAAGGGTTTGTTTCGATTAGCTTTGCAAAATGCTTTTGGCAAAAAAAAAACATTTTTGTCTGTTTTTATTGGTTTCTTTTAAAAAAAAAAATAGTAGTTTTTAATAGAGCTGACAAAAATTGACCTGACACGATAACTCGACACGAAATAATTGGGTTTGGGTCAAATATTTCAACCCGATTATGTATACAAGTTGATACGAATCCGACACGATAATAAATGGGTCGGGTTATGGTTAAGACTCTCAACTCGAACCTGACACGACAACTCGATTATAATATATTAATATTGATTAATATATTTATTATATAAATAAAATAATCATAATTTAATATTTTTTTTATAAATTAATTTAAACTAAGTTTAATTTTAAATAATTCAACCTAATTTAGGCTCAAACCAATAAAAACTAGCATAACACGACAACAAAATAAAAAAATTATTTAATTTGAATCAAAAAATTAGATTTAATTATGTATACGGGTCAACACGAATCAACCTGAATCCAACATGATAATAAACGGATTAACACAAACCCGACACGATAATAAATGGGTCGGGTTAGAATTGAATAATTTATTTTTATTTTTATTTTTATTTTTTATGACGTGGGAACTCGCAGCCACTACCCGAAAGTGCACACTGGATAAACCCCCGGCCGAACCTAATACCCTGCAAACCAGGTCCGACATAAAAGTCACACTAGGCGAACCATGTGTGGCAGGTGACCTGAGGTGTCGGGGGTTTGAACCTAAAGCATTTATTTTTGTTTGTATTGACTTTTATTCAAAAGCACAATAACCTTTTGGGCTCCAAAAATATTTTTTTTAGGGAAAAAAATAGTATCAGTTTTACAATAAGAATAATAATATTATAATATATTAAATAACATTAAAATAATTAATTTATATACTCTCTCCGTCCCTTAACAATCTATCCATTTTTTCATTTTGGTCTGTCTCATAACAAAATATCTATTTTTTTTAGTAATTGTACTTACGATCTACCTAACGTTACAAATACCATTCCAATTTACAATATATTAAACAAATGTCATTACCTTTATATCATACAATACTAATAGAGTTAATTTAGTCTTTTTACCTTTATTTTTACTTTATTCCAATATAATACTAATATTTTTAAAACTCCGTGCAAAAAACAAATGGATATATAGATATGGGATTGAGGAGTATCATATTCAAATTAGAATTTAATTATATTATGTTTTACTTATTAATTTATATATTATATTTAAATTAAAATTTAAAAGGTATAATTGAGATATTAAATTTTAAAAATATAGATTTAATAATTTGTAGATAATTTAAAATTTTTAATATTATTTATAAAATTTTAAAATAATTTGTAGAGTAATTTAAAATTTACACAAAGTTATTAAAAATATAAATATAATTTATACATAAAATTTAATAAATATGTTTTCGATTAGGGTAAATAATGTAAATTTTTAAATATAATTTATAAAATTTTAAAATAAATTAGGAAAGTTTAATATAAAACTACATATTTATAATTATGTCATATTTGATAATTTTAACAATTTACGAGACTTTTAACTTTATTATATTCAACTAGTTTTTTATTAAACGGTTTGTGATTAAACCATCTCCAACTCACTTAACGCAGTTTTAACTCTAAAAATACTATTGAACAATATTTTTACTTTTAATCCATAACTCTATTTTTTACTCCAAAAAAATATTCTTCTAATATTCTATTTTATATATTCTTTTAAACTATTTTTTATATCTATAATTAATATTATTTTATAAAAAAATTTAAAAAATAAAAAATAAACAAAAGAACAATTTTTTTTTAAAAAAAATAAATTAAAAACACCAAAAGTAGGCTACAGTGCAACATCTCCAATTTTGCAGTGGATTGGAGCATAAACAGACCACCAATCTCCAAATATGTCGAATTCTATTTATGTCGTTTTAACTAAAAGAAAATGGTGTTGTTACAATATTTTTATTTTAATCCACAATTATATTTTTCATTCCAAAAAATATATTTTTCAAATATTTTATTTTATACATTATTTTAATCAACTTTTTATATCTACATTTAATATTATATTTAAAAAAAGTTTAAAAATAAAAAATTAATCAAAAACTTAATATACAAAAAAATAAAAATAAAAAACAAAAAATTACACTAACACAAAAAATGGCAGGTGTCGCTGCACCAACAAAATGCAACTACATTGGAGATGCCCTTACCGTATTACTCTATTTTTTGAGTTGTGAATTTTTTGTAATTTTATTTTTTTTCTCAACTGAAAAAACTATTTTTATCATTTTTGTTTGTTCCACATCAAAGTATTATTTTTCTATTTTAGTAAAAGTAATCATACATTAGTATCAAAATATCTTTTCACTTTTACTTAAATTACAAACATACTATTACATATACAATTACTTTATGGGGATGGTTACGAAAATAGCACCATGCTGATTTTTCATATAAGCACACGCCATACATGCAAACAACACACATTAGTATTACACACAGCATATGCTATGTATAATAAAGATATGTGATGATTTTTAATAATAAATATGCTATATACAAGTATGTCATGTGTTAAAATTGTGTGTTGTATAAGACTATAACATGCGTTGTATGTTGTTTGTAGTAATATTATGTATTGTCTAGTAGAACACGATGTGCGTGTTCAGCACAGTGCTAAATTTACCGCAGTTCTGCAAATCAATAAAATACTATTATTTTTGAAAGAGTTCATTTAGAGTGGGACCGAGGGAATAAATTTTTTTGGAACAGAGAGTGTAATTCTTTTCGATGTACTTTGTAATTTTTATTTTTTGAAAAGTAATGTATAATTTTATTTCTTTGAGGATGATATATATTTTTATTTTTCGAAAAGAGATATATAAAATACAAAGTTAAAGTTGAGTGTAATTTATAAATATGTAAAATTGTACTCTCTCCATCCCATATAATATGGGTATATTACTGTAGACCTAGAAATTTTACCTAATAAGTAAGTAATTAAGAAATATATTAGTTCTATAGTAAAAATAATTATAGATTAAAGTTAAGATAGCTAAATATTTTAATTAAAATTTTAAAAATTAAAAAATTTAAAATGTGATTAAAGTGTATAATTATATTTAAAAAAAAAGAAAATGACAAATCATGTGGGACAGATAAAAACAGAAAATAGAGATAAATTATGTGGAACGAAGAAAGTATAAAATAATATAAAAGAAAAATATAGAAGAAATATGAAAAAAAATTGACATTTATAATTGAAACAAAATTACTATAAATTCACTAAATTGCAGCTGCTGCATTTTTAGAGTAATAGGTGGAAGATAACCTAATAACCCGGAAAATGCACTAAACTTTCCTTAACAAACTCAATCTCAACGAAAGTTCAGATGAAACCAAAAGAAAATCTACATTAAATGGAAAAGAGATAAATCAATAGATATTAGAATGATGAATATACACACATATATATATATATATATCCCTTTAACCAAAAGCATGGAACTTCTATAGCAAACAGATCATTGCACCTTAATATTGCACGAGCGTGCTTGCGTATATTCAGCATTGTTGATATTCGATGCAATAATGTAGGTGTGTCTGTCTTCCTATACTGATATATACACACTAAGAGCCATGAATAAACATATGTACGTTTGAACAAGTGTCGAATTCTTTACCTCCAAACTTTTATAGCTCCATCTCGGCTGCTCGATATCAGAAGCCTCTGGTTCAGTTTGACAGAGGCCAATGAGAGTATGGAGTCATGATGGCACCCTGCAGAATCTGTCGTAGCACCCGCAAGAATTGCCTTGGCACTCAATCGTGTAGCCTGAGGCCGTCTTTTTGATTCCTGTAGGAATCGATATGAATTATTACATTGAGTATGATTTTTCATAACCAAAGCATGTTCGATCAGAAGTTAATGAATCCTAAGATATTTTACGCTGCGAAGCCATGGCAAATAAATATAGCTACAATAGATGGCAATTTAGGCCTTGGCACAAAAGTTCATTATCTTGTAACTTGAATCGACTTCAACTTTCATCGTAAATACTCTTTTAAGTCTGTGACTATTCTTAGAGAACAAATCCAGTAAATAATAGCACTTAGAATCTTGCAAAGCATCAACCAGATCAGCCATATTTAGGCGTCAAAAAGGGCCGATCACAAAATCAGAATATAGCACAGCAAGTGCCGGTGAAAGATAATTACTCATTTTGTTTTAGGAGATAAGAATCCTGAAAATTTTAGCAACATATGTGATGGAGGTGAAACGGAAGAAACAAAGCTCACAGTTGTCGAACTCAGTTTTAGGTCATATTTTGAGGTCGAACAAACCTGATTTGTGGCAAAAATCTATTGTATGACATTTCAACGATCCAACGTTATTTCCTATGGTAACAACATTTCTAGTTCTGTAAAGAAATTGAAGTACCTGCACAATTTGCACTCCAAAGCTAGATTTCGTCTCATATAAATCGTCATTGCTAGATCCTTTGATAGAAGGTCCACATACACAATAGCTCCGTTCGGGTCTGCGCGCAAAAGTGAGAAATTAGCATATTCGAGATTAAGAGTGGGTATGAACAGAATTAAAACAACAAGAAAGACAACTGGATCTCAAGTGAGGGCAAATGAGCACCTAGAATGATCCCACCGGCGAATTTTCAAATCTGATCCACCTGTCAGAATATCACCACCAGGTAATGGGAGCAAAGCATGAACACCAGGAATATGTACAGAGGACTCATTCAGCTCGTCAATTCGGTACATTGAAGCCATAGTTCGCCTTAGATCTGTTTTAGTGTTAATCTTGGCAGATGATCTGGCAGGTGCCCATGATGGCTCACAATTATCAGCATCAGATTCAGGATTGGCTGCCCTCAATACCTACAAACCATAAATAAGAATTCCATTAGTTTCGCTCATTATTATTATTTTTTAAAAATAATTATCCAACTAATAAAAGACATTCAAGCATAAGAACTTTCATATGCTCCTTCCGTTCCAATACAATAGTCTTATTTACCATTTTTGTTCGTCCCAAAATAATATTCTCATTTCCATAAATAATCATATCACCATAAAACTATCCCTACTTTTTCATTATTATTACACAATTGCCACTACTTTTTACACTAATATACTCACAAGAGCAAAAAAATCATTTATCCTTACTTTTTACTAACTATCAATATAATATCAATATTCCTTAAATTCCGTATCCAACACAATACTTTTGGAACGGAGGGAGTATAATATAAGGAGTACAGCCAATGCCTTTCTAACACTATAACAACAGAAAACTAATTCAGCTAATAGCACTTCCCCAATTTCTTTGCATTCTTTAGAATCACCAGAGACCACTATTTGCAATATAAACACTTGCCATCGTCATTTTTACAACAATACATCAGTGATACCTTTCTTTTGCTCACCATAAAACAAAGTATTACCCCAGTCACGCAATAAATGAATCTTTAATTTACATATGGCGAATTAAACACTTAGGATCAAAGATTGACTCATTTTGGTAAGGATTATAGCATCAAAACTATGATAAAGCGAATCCGAGAAAAATACCATTGAGATAATCTTGCATACCTGGTGACAGCTCCCATTTTCTGCATCCCAAAGAGAAACTTCATTACGTCCCGCTGCAACATAGACAAGTGGCCTTGAGGTTGTAGAGAAGGAAGTACCAGGAGGAGGAACAAAAAGACAAATCTTTTTGATAGGGGAAGCAGGAGAATGGTTCCATGAATTCACAGGTATGCAAAATCTTAGATCCCACAAAGTAAGCACACCAATAGATGATCCAGATACAAACCAATTACCGCAAGGGTCTGCCACCAAAGAAGATATATAACCCTCTTCCGGAAGAACTTTTGTATTCCAACCACTTGATCTTGTTCTTATATCCCAGAGGTGAATCCCACAGTTTTGTGTGCTATAGAGAAGCATTTTGCTAGTATTACCATCAGCAGAGTAATTTAAGAGGCTCAGTATAGCTCCTTCTCCAATACCTATCCTTTTCACATCAGCAATGCCTGAATAATTTTCAACAACATTACCAAGTCCTCTAGAGATGTGATCGACAGAAAACAAATGCATCACTCCGTCGCTCCCCCCAACAGCAACTTGAGTAGAGCCTTGAAGTACTGCAACACACATTGCCCGGCTGCCATCCAAAGAATAGGTCAGCCTAGATCGAAATGTGATGTCCTTTTCCAGTTTTTTGCAATCCCATATCTTCACTGTAGAGTCCTCAGATGCACTGACAAAAAACTGCTGATCCAATGAAATGGATATGTCAGTGACAGCAGATCTATGCTCGGGAAGGTGAGCAACCAACACCCCTCGCGGCCTCCACCCTGAATCAGGAAGGGTGGATGACCATGCCAATGGTGACGTTTGTGTTGCCTCATTCGATGGATGAGCGTCAGCTATTAAGGGGCTCCCTTTAATTCTGTCTGGTAATCTCATTTCATGATATCTGCTTCTGACATAAGGTGTTTCATTGGCTTCTCGGTCATCTTCTTCATGCACAACTCTCCTCAATAGTGTAGGGCCACTACCAACATAAAGTGACGCTGAGAAAAGCTTTGGAGCTGGTGTTGAGCTAGCCAAACTAAATGATTGGTTTATTGGATCCATCCAAGGCATAGAGGAAGCACCGAAACCCAAAGAATTGTACAATGAAGAAGGATCAGAAGCAGGTGCAGTAGTGCCAGAAACTCGTTTGTCGTTAACCTTAAAGTAGTACAAGGGTATGCTTTCTGATGATTTATCAATAAAGCTGTTCATGCAACTCATTTGAGGTGACATAAATCCTGACAGTTGAGACTTTTCCGTTGCCATATGATTACGAGCTTCTTCTTTACTTAACATATTTGGTGGTAGATTTCCCGTAGCTTTGTATTTGCCTGCATAATCATCGGAATTAGTTGAGTCCAGGTGCTCCCCTGTGATACTGGTTTGGGACGGGTTATTATTTTGCTCCTTCGACCAACATTTTGGATCCAACTCTCTAGCAGTTTTCTGAAGTAAGTCTGCAGCTTCAAGTTGGTCAGGCGGTGATGTATTATACCAAATCTTTCTCTGTCTCTCTAGCATGTCTGAACTTCTCCCATTTTCCAAAACATGACAATATAGTTCTCTAGAGAGTGGTGGTTTCAGACACCCAATAAGTGCTTTTTCTGAGGCTAAGGATGCTGGCTGTCTCCGTAAAAAGGGGCGTACGACTGGCACCAGAAACACATAGGAATCAACTGCACCTAAGCTCCCACTACTAGATGCAATAAATGCTACAGCTGAGCTCCTCACCCAATTGCTGGGATAACATAGGCAAGGATAAACATGTTCTATCATTTCAAGTATTATCCTCTTCCGCAGGAAACCACTTCTGCAGAGAATCGCCAAACAATCTAATGCATTAGCAATGACAGACTCAGAAGTATCGTTTAGTGCCTGCTCAATGTAAGGTAAAAGATATTCCTCTACACTTCGCTGCCCCACAAAGAAACAGACATAGATTATTTGCCCATAAAAAACAGCCCTTAGCAGGTCATCGCGATCGTTAAGAAAAGCAGGGAGGAAAGGTAGCAAAAAGTCATTACTCTGCTTCTGTCCAAAAAACCAGCAAAGATTGCCAATATCCTGCAGAAGTGCTCTCCTTATGTTTGGAGTTTGCTTTGGTCCCATCACAAGTTCTTGAATGACCTCTGCAATTGACTTTCTCAAGTGTATCAGTTGTGCATTATTATTCACTTCCTGTGGCTCTCCAGAAGGGTCGGTAGCAGGAGTTGAAGGCTTCAAGGCTAAGTTAGACTCATTAAGAACCCCTGCCTCAGTCAAGCTTATTGAGTGTATAAGAAACCCATAGGCCGTCAGTGCCAATTTCGATATATTGCTGGCATAGCATATTCTCACACTTTCCTCGGAGTCATCGGGAAGCATGGAAAGCATTGGAAGAATATATTCTGGGAATATCTTGGCATCACTTGGAGGAAAATCTCTGACAAGAGGAAGAATGTCACACAGTGTCTCCAATGCTGCACAGCGAACAATGGCAGTAGGATCTGAAAGTGTAGCTATAATATAAGGAAGGATGCGCTGCAATCGATCTTCGTCATCAATGTACAGAGAGCAAGCTTTTAGCAGAAGGACAGCTGCTCTCTTTATAAAAGGGACTTTGACATTACGAATGCAGGAGCAAAGAAGAGAAGCAATCAATACCATCCCCTCACAGTTCAAGATATCCTGAGGTACTGGTAGATTAGGCATTCCAAAAGTATCTGATTGATTGTTGTAATTAGACATCAATAAGCTTAAGTCTTCCACTGCAATTTTTTTCAAGAAAGGATGGCGACTTCTCTGAAATATCTTGGAAATTCTTTGAATCAACTCATCAGGAGATTGCAAACCATATAGGTTCTGATTTTGACCATGTACAGACTTCGCCACATAATTTGTCACAGAGTTCATATTGAAATGATCATTGTTTTGCTTTGCATCCCCGACCAGGTTATTCACATTACCCAGAAGATCAAATTGATCATGAATTGGGCTTTTCTTCGTCCCCTGTTCTTCATCCTTAGACGTACCTGCTCTATTGGGATTCTGCATAGTATCAGCTGTTTGTGGAAGTTTACTTCTATCATCGTAAACTTCTGTTTTAAATATCATATCCTGTTCTGCTCGGTGACCCATCATTTGTCTAATTATTTCCCTGAAAGAAGTCTCACATGCTAGAACCTGGAGCAGCAGCAGTTATGTCAATTAAATATATATATATGTATATATATGTCAATTAAATATATATATATATGTGTATATATATTGAAAAGGGGCATCAGAAATAGAGATAGGATCCTCTAAGTTCCTTACCCTTGCATCAGAACTCAAAGGATTTAGCAAGGAATAAAACTTATGAAGGAATGGCGAGAAATAATTAGGAAAGACGACGCTCGCAAAGTTTTGCAGGTAGGTCTCAGCAGGATATCTAGACTCTGGATCCAATTGAATCATATGAAGAATCATTTTCCGGATGCCTGAATCTGGAATCTTCAGTCAAGCAATAAAGACATAATAGTCGATTAATAATAGAAAGATAATAGAGCAAACATGAAGAAATTCAGATAACACAATTTTAAGTTATTTAACACATTAAAACAAAAGTTAAAATGGGATTGGGAGGAAACTAAGTCAAATTAATACCAGAACATGAATTAATTCTATAATCTATATCACGATGTCACCACGACTACTCATACCTTTTCCAGATTTGCAGTAGGATCATATTGTCCTCTTCGATAGGAGAGCAATTGAGAGAGTTCAAACAATGGTTGGCCTTCAAGAAAAAGCTCAGCAATCACACACCTAAAAGAAAAGACTGCATAAAATATTTAAACGGAAAAACAATACAAAACACGTAAAATAAAAGCAGGTTCCAAGGTAATTCATGGTGTGCAAACTACAAATTGCCAACATATGTTCTAAAGTTAGATATGTAAGTTAAAATCCCAAAACTAAGTAAAAAGTAATTTCTTAGGAGTAAATTAACATCATAGTTAGAATTTCGTATAATCTAGTACTATATCTTTAGTTAATTTACAAGTATCATTCATCTTTATGTAAAGTTATAAGAAGTGTCAGTTTTTAAGGTTCGCCTACCAAAAGAAAGAAAAAACATTCTTTTGGTATCTGTACTAGTCTAGTTTTATATATTGGCATCAATTCATATGCACACGTACGGTTTTTCCAATATTACACAAAATAAAAGTTCCAACATATATGCATGAGAATGATCCAAAAGAGGAGGAGGCTATGATGGTTTTCACCCTTGATACATGTTATCAGGACATGCTGGTCAACAGAGTCGCTCATGTATTAAATGAAAAGCTCTTGGGTATTTTCTAGTGCAACTCAAGTTCATTGATGTTGATTTAGTTCATCAAAACCATTTAAATAAAAAGTTTAGAGAAAGTTCCGCAATGCAATACAATAATGCCACAAGGAAATAAAACTCACCCTACAGAGAAGATGTCCATAGAGGGTTTCAGGAGTGCATCTTGTGCCACTTCTATCTCTCCTTTATGCTCATAGAACCTCTGGAAAATACAGCACAAAATTTGACCATGGAGATTTTGAAACTAGAAAACAAGTAATAGGGCAAGACAAAAGCTTATTCATGGGACAAATGCAGCCATAGTGATAATACAAGCTATGATCAACTAATGAATTCTTTTTAGATAAATGTCTTTAAATAGATACATTATTAGCCTATAGTGTTTCCCCACTAAAAAGAATACTATCTAACACCATGAATCTGAAATGCCTCTTCGAAACAGATGTATCAAGAATCGATAATAACATATTGGCATCAACATGTTATCACATATCCACGAGTTCTAAATTGTCTCTAGCATTAGGTACTAAGTTCTGGTCATGGGGTCCAGTAAGAGCCGAAGGATACCAAAAATTTAAGAAGATACACACCTCAGGTGCAACATAACACCGTCTTCTTCCACCAGTATCAAAGAAGAATGAAAAATCAGAGGGATCATCATACGGGATATAAGTGGGCTTAAATGATGCAAAATCAGCAAGATAGAGCCAGTTCCAGGAAGTGACCAAGACGTTCTCACATTTAATGTCACCTGTAAACAAAAAATTTGCATAAACCTCTTGCACAGACGGGTAGCATTACAGGTACATAGAATAAATATCACAAGTTAACCTCACCATGACACACTTCATGCTCATGACACTGTTTCACAGCATAAAGCAACTGCAAAATGCAGCAAGATACTGAGATTTCAGTTCCTACATGTTACTGGTACAATTTCCTTCATTGACACAATTAAACAGAAGAGACATGAACCTGAAAAGCTAGCCATTTCTTTTCCACGAGACTAAGGAAAGGTCGGGTACTCAATCGATCATGAAGATTGTTGAAGAAGTATTGCCTCACTAAATAACCAGCTTTATCTGTTTCAAGCCAAAACTGCAAAGGAGATTATAAATAGGCAATTAAGATTCAAGTTTGAAGCTATCAATGATGAAATTTAAGCAAATAACCTCCACAAACCAAATAAATTCAACTCATAAAAGAGGTTCGTATATGGGATTTTTTCTTGAACTCCCAACCCAAAAGACAATTACCTTGTTCAATAATAAAGACAATTTTCACAGCAAAATAAGCAGCATGATTTCATATTTAAGTGCTAACAACCACAAATCATATTCAATTATCTTAAAAGATGTTTCAACAGAAATATTTTTGGGTAATTAACTTCAGATCAGCGTGCCAGCAATATGAACAAACAAAAGGCTCCCAATGTTCATATTGGAAAATCACTCACACAAATTTTTAGACTGAACCTAACGTCAAACCTTATGCAATAAGGTTTCGACTCTTTATAGCTCCAGATTTTTAGAGGAATCATCTATTCCAATTCCAATTCCACCAATCTCACTTCCAATCTGCATTTCAGTTCAATACATAACGTTTGCTCATATATACCAAGCTCATTCCAACTTCTTACCTTGATTTATTTCAAATTTCCATTCAATTGCTTCAACTATTCATCGTAAACTCCTATAGCTACAGACCTAAATTCTACCCCTGCCATTACCTCCATAAGAAGCCTTAATGACATTACAGATTAGTTTTAGCCAACAGAATAGTCACATAAATAAAGAATTAGCTTTAAGAATGCCTAATTCCAAATCATCGGAAAACCAAGAACTGAAAAAGGACAGAAGGTCACAAAAAACCTGAAACGGCCAGACGTGGGGGCGATCGAGTTTGGAGAAGATTTCTCGAATTCGAGAGAGGCGGCGCTCGTAGTCGCGCAAAACAATTGAGTCGCCACGTTTAAAGTAGACCTTGACAAGCACCAAACCCTCGTCGTGCTTGCAGAGTATGGATTTTAAGAATCGGTCCCTCCCCAGCACTTCCTTGAGCACCAAGTTGTACGAAGACGGCAAATCGTGAAGATAGTACTCCGTCGCCGATGCTTGCGTCGTCCGGGCGATCTTGTTCCCCATTCCCTCCGCAAATTTATTCCTTTCCCGGCAAGACGATTACCTACTGAATTTCAAATTGCGATTCAATTCTCCGATTTACGGGGAAAGGGATGATTTTTTATTTATTATTATTTTGGACCTAATACTGATTGAGTGGTAGGGTTTAGCAGTTGGCTAGGATTATGGAGGTTACATAGGAGACGCCATGGGAGAGGAATTTGGAGCTCGGTCGATCTCCGGAGATAGCCTCTGCGCGCCGCTCGGGGTTATCGTGGGCCTCTTGTACAGGACATTTTAAAAAAACGGTCTACGTCAAAGGGGGTGAATTAAAATTATACCCGAAGCAATTTTCAAAATTATTATATTTATAAATTATAGTAATTTTCAAAATTCTTTAACTTTTTTAATTTAAAAGTTTTTAAATTATTAAATATAGTAATTTTATACTAGTTTCTTAATACTATCAGGAATATTTTTATTAAAAATAAAAATAAATATTATTTTAATATAAATAAATCATAAATTTCTTATTTTTTTTCATTTTGTTTATTTTTTGGCAATTTTTTAGTGTCGCTGGTACTGCTTTTCTACGGTCGATTTCGGTAATCGATTTTTCAAATTTTGTATTCATTCATTCTATTTTGTTTGTTTGTCGGTTTAGAAAATACATTTGGTGGGTGAGAGATTAATGTAAAAATTGAAGAAAATATTGTGCTAATTTTTTTTGTTTTGAATTAATAAGTTTCATATAAATGCCGTACTCGAATCAATCGGAATTTTACTTTTCTTTTCCCTAAAACAAGCACCTTTCTCTATATCCTCAATTTTTGATCAGATTGTTGAAACATTTTGAAAGTTCAGCTCACTGTGTGCTCTGTGCACAGCTTCAATCCAGGTTGTTTGCTAACATCTTCTTAACAATTATCATCTTATTTATTTTTTATTTTTTACTATAATTTACAGAATTTTTATTTATTATATTTGAATTTTTTTTGTATATATATATATTTTATAATTCTTGTGATATTGCATGTTCTTATTGCTATATTTATGTTTATATCATTTTGCTAATAATAGTACATTGAGTTAATATAATTTTTATTGCTTTAAAATTTTTTAAGAGTTTATATTTGTGTTCAAGAGCTTATATTTGAGTTAATATAATAAGATATGAATTTCAATACAAGCATTATTTACATAAATATATATAGACTAAGTGAACCACATTTTTAATGTAGATATTTTTAATTTGGAATGTGGACAGTGTTTTGTAATATTTTCATATCGGGGGGGATTGTCAGCTCCAGTAATTATTGTTTCCTTCATCTTTAATCTATTCTGAGCATATTTGGAATAGTGAATTAATTGATCATAAGTTTAGTCTTATTTGTCGATAAATATATTTGACTAGTATATTTAAATTATGTCATCTTAGGATTCTTGAGATATTAAATCGTATTGGATTTTATGGAGTATATAGGGTTGGACATGTTAATCATTATCCTAGTCTTTTGACAACATTAGTTGAGCTATGGTGTCTTGAAACACATACATGTCATTTCATATTCAGTGAGGCAACAGTTACATTAGAAGATGTTGTCATGATATATCAGTTACCTATTGATGGTAAACTTATTGTCAGTGATGTCACATCTCGATAAACCATAGAGAACTCTTCAAAGATTTGTATGGATTTATTACAATTGTCTCTTAGCCCAGAATATTTCAAGCATGGACCGTGGATTTTGCACTATACTTTAGAAGATCATTTGAAAAATAATGAGTTTCAAGTTGATAATGATAGTCCTGAGAGAAAAAAAAAAAAAGGTAGAGTGTCGGGCACATGGATTTATGCTACTGATGATTATGGATAGCATATTTCCAAATTCAGATGGTAGTAGGGTCAAGCTGATTTACTTGTCGTATCTGCAAAAAATTGACCTTTTCTGAAAAGTATAGTTGGGGAAACGTTTGACTTACATGTCTAATCATAATTTTTGTTTAACGGTTATTGGAGTAAAAAGAAAAAAGTTTAGTGATCTCCTCACATTGTTACAGGTATATATTTTATAAATTGACATCTTAAATTTATTTAATAATATTATTTTTTGTTGTTAACTATTTTATGTTTCTAGATTTAGGCATGGTCTCAATTAAATATGTTGGCTCCTATTAAATCAATAAAATTTATTGATGTCGATCCTCGAATGCTTGCTAATGGTGTAATGTTTCCTGTTGTGATTTACGGAGCTAGGTATTGTAATTTATGCAAATTTGATAGTTATTAACTAAAATATTTTGTATTTATCAATATAATCTATAACTTGTTATTATTGATGGGTTCGGGGTAAACATGATTTCACTCCAACTATTCATGGTTTTGTCGCTGTTATACGTGACATTCTTGATCATGAAGGAAATTTATAGGTATTTTAATTATATTTCAATAGTTATATTTCATTCATCTCAATTCAAAGTATTCTTTTTATTATTTTCGTCCAATCTCACTTCAAAGTATTTCTTTTTTATTTTAGAAAAAATAATCATACACTAATACTAAAATACTCATAATTTTTACTTAAATTACAAACATACTACTACACATACAATTACTATACTTAAAGTCAAATGAAAAAAAATGCCAAAACCTCTTACACATTTCCATTAATCAAGAAATACTATTATTTCTTAATCTACTATAGAATACCAAAAGACCCCTTTGAAATGGATTGGAGAGAGTATAACTTTTATGCTATAATTTTTTTAATATAAATATATTATATTTTTATACAGTTCTATTGGCAGCTTTACGAGCCCAGTTTATACGATGGTTTATTATATTCTTGTCATTTAATTTTATTCTGTTACCAATGACCTTTGTTATATGAACGATGTATTGAACATCATTTCATAGATAGAGTGCTTCGGAAAATAGGCTTAGTTCATCATATTCCAGATATTCCATCAGTGGTAGAGAATAGGGATGCTCATAGTTCTTCTCAAGGATCCAACACAAAAAATTGGTTGAAAACTTATCAAATATATATTCAACAATGGAATCAACTTAATTTAGTGAATAGGCAGTCGACCTTGCATGATATACCTCCTACTCCGGAATATTTGCAATGGTTTAGAACACATTTGAGATGATTTATCAACAATCCGGAATTGCGTACACAGGCCAGTTGTCCGATTAAAACACATAGCCAAGCATATACTCTTATTGATGTTCCGTTTTTACATGTGACCACGCAACAATCGTATTTGATACATACTTTTGAAGAGTTTCCATATAGGTTGGGGGTTCTTGCACTGAACTCTTCCGTGTCCTATAAACATCTTCAATAGCCATTTTCAAGCTATGTCATTCATTTGAATAAGAAATATCAAACTCATATGTTTCTTTTTAAAAACTCTTTCAATAAATTTGCTATCACGTTAACATCCAAATTACTATGTTCCAACGATATATCATATGGAATACATGCGTGATTAGACATCATTGTAATTAGCTGCTAACATTCTAAATATGGTTTATATGATGCAGTCACCCCCCACTGGCAACCATTTTTTTCCATGATGCTTACATTTTACTCTGAAAACCATACGATTGCTTTTTGTCACAATATATTCTCTCCCAACCATACGAATTGAATAATCCTTAACGATCATTTGTGTCTGGCTTTTATCTTTGAATACTATCCCAGAAATAATAGCACCGCTACTTTTTCTGTAAATATCTCATCTATGATTGAGAGTGTCATATGTATCTTGTTGAAACTCCTCCTCATACAACTTGTGAAAATACTTAATCGAATGATATTCATTTTGACTACATGAATGTGGTATTATATACATGTTTGAGGAGATTGTGATGGCTTTGACTCTTGCCATAATACAATAGCATCCACACCCTAATTTTCACAATTTTCATATATTTCCATTTTATCATCTAAACATAAAATTAATTCTGATTCACTAGATTTATTTTCTTTAATTCCTTGACAATTTGCATATAGTATGTGTATATTATCATCTGTTTGCTCAAGTTTTGTGTTGAGATCCATATATATTGACAATTCCAAACATTGATAACTATTTTCTGAATTTAAAAAGTATTGCAGATTGAAGACATTCACAGTAATAAGCTTCATTATCCGATTATCTTGTTCATTCGTCCAACTTATGGCATTTTCAAAATCAAATAATATTGCATCCGACTTTTTCTAGTCAAATTGTAAATTAAACTTTCTAAATCAAATGTACTATCTCGCCGAACAATTGTCATACACTTTGGATCATAATCATATTCTATTGTATCCGACTTTCGTATAATGTTACCATCTCAATACAACATTATATCAATATTGCTCTGGCCACTACTCGTCATCTATTTCTATAAAAAAAAAATAAAAATAAAAAAATATATTAAATAAATACTATTAAGAATAAAATTAATATACTGTAAATATAAGAAATATATAAAAATATTATGATAAGAAATATATATAAATGCATATTTCATATAAATAATATATTAATATAAACCTTACAAATAATACCAAAATAAACAACTAAGATGTTATCAAATTACAAATAATATCAAAATAAACAACTAAATGTTATAAAATTACAAATAAATATATAATCACTAAGCAACGAACTTATTAAAAACAATACCAAAATAAAGATCATATGAAAGAAAATTTGTAATCAAACAAAAAATACAATATAAAACAAAATATTTATAAAAACTATAAAATAATTTAGTCAAAAAAATAATACCTTAGAAGTTGGACATCTTGAGCATAAATTTTGCTTAAAAAACGAGCACGCCATACACAAATTTGGAATACAACAAAATCGTTGAAGATGGTGTAAATTGAAATTAATACTATAAGAATTCTAAAAACTCCTATAATAAAAAATATAAGAGTTTTTATAACTATTGTTCATGAAAAAAGTTTGCAAAACTCTTTCATTACCAATTATAGAAGTTTTGATAAATCCTATAATTCCCGATGTAGTTGAAAGAGAAAATAAGAGTCCAGAAAACTACTATGTTTAATATTTTAAGTATTTTCAAATTTTTTATTATTTTACATCTGAGATTTTTGAAAATTTCTATAATTTATAAATATAAGAATTTCCAAAACTTCTTTCAAAGCTAGATTTTTAAAATGATATTTGACTTAGTCCAATTTTTTTTCTAAAAAAACCCTCTTTTACAACTCATGCGTACAATAGGGGTGTGTTGAAAACTCAGACCGTGTTGT